ACCCTGCCAGCCCGGGCCCCGTGCTCCTGCCACCCCGCCCTGGGCCCCCACTGGTGCTGGCCCCAGGACACCGGTGCAGGCCCTGAGCTCCTGCCCAGCTGTGCTTCTGTGCGCCCGTTCGCTGCTATGCCTCCTCACCTGCTGCTGCTTTCACTGCTGTCCTGCCCACTGCCACGGTGCTCCAGCACCATGTGGTTCCTGGCTATATGGCCATGACCGCAGGACTCAGCAGGAGCTCGCCTGGCCAGCCCCTGGGGCTATTGCCTGTGGTCCTCCCCTGCCGCCTTGCCCCCATCTTATCTGCATTTCCCTTTCTGGTGGAGAGAGGCGGAAACAGCTTCACACTTCCAAGCCAGAAGCTTCTGCTAGGCAGAGTTCTGATTGTGGGGAGCTGGGGGTGGGGCAGTGCCAAGGGGCCTCTGCTGCTGGTTCTGGCCGTCGGCTTCTGTTGGGTCCTACTGCCCCTGGCTCCTATCATCTTTTGACAGGCAGTCAGGAGCAGGTGCATATTAATTGTCTACCTTTTTTAGGGGCCCCGTGAGCTGGATAGAATGGCCTGGTGGGCCAGATGCAGCCTGCGGGACATATTTTGCCCGCCTCTGCTCTAAGCCCACTGGATGTTGAAGGACTGATAAAGAAATGTGGGCTGAGCAGGAGGTCTGAATTTGTAGGTCTCCAGCTTTTGCATCTGAGATACAGGACTCTGCTCTCTCTCACCTTGGGATTTTACAAGCTACAGGGCATACATTTATGGTATTCTGAAGTGTTTTATCACTCCATTATTGGAGGTACTAAATTAACGTGCATTAGAAAAGGTGCATTAATGCAAGTGTGGACGTGCCTGGTACCAAGTCAGAAATCTTAAGTCACTTAAGATCATAAGTCCCACTAAAAGTCACTGGGCCTATGCTCATAAATTCCTTGGGTATTTGCTGTGAATCATCCCTTTCATCTGTAAAAAGATGCCTCCATTTCCTTGACTGCCTGAAATAGCCTGGGATTCCAGAATGTGATCACTATAGAGGCACTGAGGAAAGCATACCCCTTGCTGGACATGGTAGATCAAAGCCGTAGGCCAAAGGAGCTGGTAAGTATCAGTTAGCTGTGAGAGAGGGTGATCTGGGATGGTAACACTGACATGTTACATTACAGTTTTGGGTAAAATAGCTGCGAGCTAGCCTTCCTGTACCATTCATGGGGGACTCCTGCTGGGGAAGATGGAGATTGCGACCAAATGTTCTGGCAGCTGGCACTCCTGTGCTATTCTCTATTGTGTCTGCTGTTGGAAGAGCTTAGAGCTACAGTAGCTTTCAACCTCTTCTTCCCCCCCAATCTCATGTGCATTTCTTCACTATGCCTTACAGTGACTGCAGCTGGGATTTAACAGTAACTAGCAATTTTGTGCTCTCAGAGACCTGATTTTCAGCAAGTCTTGTGCATTTCTGAGGAAAAATAAGAAATACACTCCTAGCTTGGAAAGCCTTGGCCTGCCCCTTTATTAACCCTTCATGTCAATCCAGAAGGAAGCAGTTTGTAAAAGGGATTAGTTTCAGATTACTAATCTAGCCCTCCTTGTTTTCTGGCAGCCTCCTCCAACTACAGACTTCCCTACCATAGAAGGTAAGTGAGTCTTCATTTGTGTGGGGGTTGCTATTTCTGTTCACTCTGTAGGCAATCCAGCTAGGACAGCCTCTCAGTACTAGAATACCAACGCAGCTCATTTGGACAAGATGGTATACCATGTTTGTCTCTCACTTTCTGAAAGTAATACATGGTGATGGAGAGCATGTTTTTGCTGTTTGTTCAGTAGCTGGGCAACTAGTATTTTCCATGTCTCTTCCAAACATCCCAGGGGTGATTCTGTTTGGGGAGCCAGTCCGATGGGAGACAAACTTGCAGCTGATTATTGATGTCCTCCTGAGCAATGGGAACCCTGGGGCAGAACTGAGTGCCGTGCCATACCCCCACATACCTGTCCTTGCCTGTAACATGGACCTCCTGTGGATGGCAGAAGCCAAGATGCCAAGGTGAAAAGCATATTTTGTTTGAGTCATTTTAGCCTACCTGTGTGGCTCTCCTGTTAGTAGTCATTCTTTGGGACCTGACCTACATCTTTTCCAATATGACTAGGAGGCCTTTTCCTTGGTTTTGGTAATACTGAGATGTAGGATAGCTGAGTGGATAGCACCAGCACTGGGACGGGCCTTGAAATTACTTTAGAAACTCTGACAAATGCAAATTCTTGTTCTGGTGTCTCAATATGCATATATCCTCTGGTGTTGCTGCCAAATCAATCACGGTCATACATATTCCAAAATAAAGATTTTTATTCCATGTGATGGAGGGTAGAGTAATGGAAATGATGATCTTTTCTTGGGCAGGTTTGGCCATGGCACCTTTCTTTTGTGCCTGGAGAACATCTACAGGAAAGTGACTGGAAGGGAGCTGAAGTACGAAGCCCTGATTGGCAAACCCAGCATTGTCACCTACCACTATGCTGAGTATCTGATCAAGCAGCAGGCAGAGAAGCAGGGGTGGGAGTCTCCCATCCGCAGGCTATATGCTGTTGGGTAAGAGACTATTTTTTTGCTTGTTTATTTAAAAATCAGAAAAACCCTAGAGTCCCTGAAGCACCTCTAGAACTTCCAATTTAATTGCTGCTCTGATTTTCATCAACCTTAAAGATGACTATATCCCTGCTTCATGCACATCCATGACAGAAAATAGCATGGTCATCCTGGGAAAGTCATTGCTGCAGGATGCAACATCTACATTGTGTGGCTGGATTTAAATCAGTGTAGCAGCATTAAGCCAGTGTTAGCATTCCAGGCATGTTAGACAAAGCTAATCAAGCTTTGGGTACATAAAGGGGGACAAAGAGGAACACTTTGCAATTGGCCAGATGCAGCTTGGTACTCTGGGAGGTTTCCTCCTTTGACCTACGCAGTGGGGATGCTGCATTGGATAGACCACTGGTTTGTTTCTGGTAGTTCTGTACAAGCCCCTATACATGTGCACTTTGTGCTAGTACAATCTCAGCCTGTCCACTCCCATACAAAGCATGTAATACCTTCAGTTTCCCTCTCCTCCGATTGTCTTGCGCAGGGATAATCCTATGTCGGACATCTATGGTGCAAATCTCTACAACAGCTACCTCAAAGCTGCACACCAGACCCAGGCCCAAGCTGGAGTGCTGGGGAGCGTGGTGGCAGCAGGTCCTCAGAAGGACTTCAACCTTGGAAATGATAGCAATGTCTTGATGGAGAGCTGCGAGTCTATTCTGGTCTGCACTGGGGTCTACCGTCATCACAGAGACATGCCCCCTGTTTCAAATGTGTGTGTGAGGGACACAGTGTTCCATGGGCACCGGGACTTCTGCTTTGATCCCAGCTTGGTGGAAGCCTCTTATGTGGTGCAGGATGTGAATGAAGCAGTGAAACTTGCTTTTGAGAAGGAGACCTGGAGTTAGGAGTGAAGCAGGTGTGGCAGAAATCTGATCATCACAGTTTAGCACTGAAGCAGAAGGGAAAGGGGAAGAAACTGGAAGCTCTAGCAGAGCTGAAGACAGTTCCCAGGTCCCTGTGGGCTTGATGTCAAACATCCCCCTTGTGTTGTCAATTATTTTGCAGTCCCAATAGCTGCTAGCAGGGTTCCAAACCCTTGCAGAGCTATACTTAAACTGCTGTTGTTGCAGTGGGCTCAACCCTCACGTGGGCAGGGTCCATCTAGCTGGACCATCCCAGCCCCTGTGTCTGTGGAACTGTAGTTATCTGAACCCTCTTCCTTCTCAAACTCTTCTATGCATCTAAGGTGAGGACTACACAACCCTCATCCATGCCACACATTTTATGGTGAAGTGCTTCCTCCCCTGTGCAGAAGACCATTGGCTAGTGCATGAGACCTACCCTGCTCAGAGGCTTGAGTGGGTCCTTCATGGTGCCTGGTACACACTGCCAATCAGGGCAGAATTTAGCCATTTGTTACCACTGTCCTCAAAATGTGCCTGTGGATGTTAAGTAGCCTTCTTTGCCCAGAGACTTAACACATGCAGCCTTTATCTTGAAATAGTACAGAGAATCTCAGTGGCCATACGCCGAGTCCCTCATGGAGCTGAAATGTTGTGTCATGCCATCCTCAGCTTCATTCTGTGGCTCTCCAGCAACAGAAACTGTAGCAGGTCTCCTCATAGGAAAACCTGTATAACCACAATGACTTTGTGCAGCGCCAAGAACGGTGTTATTCCTCCTTTTAACTTTGTCTGAAAACACCTCTTCATCTGGCTGCCAGCCCCAAGGGCTGACAGCCTTGCTTTGTAGCAGCATTAGAAGTAGCCTCAGCTTATAAACTGTGAAAGACAAGGAGATTGCATTTCTGCTGTAATGTTGGGCTCTGAAGTGGTACTGAGGTTGAACAAAGACACAGGAATGGATCTTCTGGCTGTCTGTCAGAGGGTCGATGCCCTCCGTGCCCAAGCATCACTGCTTCTAAAATGGCATCCATAGGAACTGGGGTCACTGCCTCTTCTTCCCCTGCTATGCTGACTGAGAGGGCAGCCGATTTCTGCTCTTTTCACTTGGAATGATGAGGCTGAAGGCAGTGCAAGGGCCATAAAGCCAGAACACAACCACATTCAGGAACTGTAGACTGTTCTCATCTTGGTTTCTGGGTCTTTTAACTAAAGTAGTCTTCCTCCTAATCTTCCCCCCATTCCCCTTGTCCATTTGTTCCTCAGTAATAACCCTAAATCCAATCCTCTTTCTGAAAGACTCTCCAGAACAGTCAGTGCTATTCTTGGTTTGGCTGTAGCAGCCAAGAGCTCACTGCCTCAGCAGCCTTCCCACGTTTTGCAGAACTGGAGAGCTTCAGTACTTTAGCTCTGGCTGTGATGAGGGGGAAGGGAGTGACAGAGGCAGGCATTAAGGCCTCTCTCTCAAAAGTCTCGAGGAATCTAATTTAACTGTGAAAATTCCCCCCAGGTGAAACTTAAACGGGGGGGAAAAAAAAAAAAAAAAAAAGATATTGGCTTAGGCAAAGGATTCCTCTTAGGGCTGCAGTCTCTCTCTGGTAAAACCATAAGCCATCCTGGGTCTTCGAACCACCCAAATGACTCGTTGCTAGATTTTGTGTCACAACAATTCATCGTGTGCTAGTTGGGTTACTCCTAGCTCCCAGCAACATGTGCCCAGGAGAAGAAGCGGGCCCCAAAGTCAGATACAGCTTTTGCTGGCCACAATTTTACTGGGGGGAGGAAGGGGTCCACTTTGCTTTCTGTTCAAATCCCAGATAAAGTGTTTGCAGATTTCCTGCCTGCACTTTCTTTGACTTCAGGGTATCTGCCTAGGAAGGTTGTATTGGGAACCAGGCTCTTTCCTCTCACTTGACACACTAAGGCCAAGGATTGGGTTCTAGGCACTGGAAGGGGATTGCATGTTCTGTCAGGTGACAGAGACAGAAGCCTCTTCTTTCTTGGTAAAGCTTTAACACCAAGCCAAACTCCAGGTCCTGCTGTGCAGTCCTGCGAGACCTGCAATGTGGAGGAGCTTATCCCTTGCTTTCCCTTGTTCTGGCCCAGGTTTGTTCTTGAAGTCTTAGTGGGACAAGTATCATTAGGGCTGCCAAGATGGTATGCAGAAAGTTGAGTTTAATTCAGACTTCCCTGGATTGCTTAGGGAACTTGTTACCTTGGTTTTCTCCAAGCTATAGAGACCCATGTCTTGTTCATGAAGGATGAGCTTTGCTGGACTTGGCTCAAGAGAGCAATATTCTGTTCCATGGGTTGGAGCCAAGTCTTGAATGACTTTCCTTTGCATGCAGTGTACCAGCCTAGCACTACAGAGGTCTTTCTCGTGCTTCTTCATTCCTCTGTCTCAACTTGTCCCTCAGCCCCCATCAAGATGGTTGACATTTCTCTGCAGAGAGATTGCCAACAAAAGTTGCTAATTTTCACATGAACAGCAGCCTCTGTTCAAATCCTAGATGAGCTCAGGCCACAGAACAGCTGCCTGTTGGTGGCAGCTACTGGTCACTCCTTCCACTGGGCATTCTGGACCAGATTTCAAAGGCAGGTAGAAACTAAGTGTGCAGCTGCGTAATCATCTATTAATCCTCCAAACGCTTTAGTTACATGTTTGGGGCTCTATTACTGGCGATAGCTGGTAATATGGTTGTTACTTTGATGCACACATTCTTGTCTCTTGCATTTGGCCCAGTAACTGTGTCAAGCCTGTGGTGCTGTCCACAGAGGAAAGTGTATGGCTGGAATATATTAGCCAAAGTTCCAGCATCTGATTAGAGTACTTTCTTTGTAGTGGCTTTCATAGAAGGATATGGGAGAGTTCAGTAGGTAGGAGACAGCATCAGTCTGCATCATAATGCCCTCCCTCAGAGTAAGGAAGTATCTAGGATCTGTATTCAGCAGGGAGTAATCTTGCAGGAAGCGGCCTGGATGAGCCAGTGGTCCCTTTCCATTCCTAAGTACAGTGGAGGTGCTGGTGTGTTGCGCTATGCAAGTCTGCTGCACCTTTGGAATTGTAAATCCATTCCTCCCTTTCCAGTCTACCCGTTTGTCTGGGGAGTAGGGCAGGGATGGAAGAGACCTTTTAACCCTCAGATCTGGTATTCTAGTCAAGTTGGGTTGCACAGCGTGCATGTCATATTAGCCCTGCATGCCCGTGAAGGAGTTAAAAGGGGAAAAAACAACAACCCCCCCTAAAAAAAACAAGAGAAACAAAAACACAAACCCCAAACAAACCACTAAATAAAGAATTTTGTTCTCTTAGCACCCACCCCCACATGCACCTTTCCCTGAAAGGATCATACCACTTCTAATCAGCCGTAGCCTGTTGGCTGGGTGACTATGAGTGGCAGGTAGTAAAAGGCCTTGTCACCTGTCAGCGGGCATATTTATGTGTGCAATTAGCATGACAAACTCCAGCACAGTTTATACTGGAGTTTACTGCCCCTGGTCACTGCGTTTGCATGTATGCCTGGGATCACAGCACATTGAACTAGATTGGAGCAGCCCTGGTTGGTAGGATGTCGGGTCAGCCTGAAGCTTCTCCAACCTGATTTGACATGCTGTGGAGGGGCTGGCTGAGGCATGAGGGTGTTCGAATGCAGGGCTAGCCAGCAGGCAGCCCCTGCACTGAAGCACCCTCATGCCCCAGCCGGCCCTATCACTGTCTACACGTGTTGCTGTGCACGAAATAACACTGCTGAAGGATAGTACTTAGGTTTACAAGTACTAACCTACGGTAGAGTTAATTACTTTACTGGAGCCTAATGGCTACATGTGCAGATGCTGAGACTTTACTGCAGAGCCAGTTAGGCAACTCCACTGTAAATGTCTTGTGTAGATGTGCCTAGCCTCTGTTATGAACTCCAGGCCTTTTTTTTTTTTTTTTTTTTTAAGACCTCTCTACTGTAATAAGCAGCAGTTTGCCAGAATCTTGTTCTACCAAAAATAATGGTCCTCTACCAGCTGGATGCAAATGTTGAAGTGAAGTGAAATCTTTGCACAATTAGCTGCAAGGCAGGGTGGGGATTAGCCACTATCCTCTACTTCTCATGTATCCCTTTCCACAGTTTGGATTCTGGTTTGGAGCAAATTTCCTTCATTATAGGTGGTCTGATCACTCAGCAGTAGATGCAATCTTAATTAGTGCTCATAAGTACTGTGCCTCTCAGACAGTAATGCTGTAAAGGTCTGATCCTGACATCTGGACCTTTTGTTGGCTTTGAGAGATTTTTGGATCAGCCTCAAAGCAAGTCAAGCAGGCAGAACTAGAATCTTGTAAGTGAGGCAGAGCTCCCCTTTCACACAGTAAGGGACAGGAGAGCAGACAATGTGGGGTGGTTGTCCCTGATGCGGTGTGGGGCACGGGGGAGTGTTCCTCTTCAACTACCACCTCTTCCTAGGCATAGCGAGTCAAAAAGACTGATTGTGCAGGGGGACATAGTTTCATAGTTGGCAGGGTCGGAAGGGACCCGAGCAGATCATCAAGTCCGACCCCCTGCCATGGCAGGAAAGAGTACTGGGGTCAAACGGCCCCGGCAAGGTTTTCATCTAACCTCCTCTTAAAGACCCCCAGGGTAGGAGCCAGCACCATGTCTCTTGGAAGTTGGTTCCAGATCCTAGCCACCCTGACAGTGAAGTAGTGCCTCCTGATGTCTAGTCTGAATCTACCCTCTGCCAGCTTGCAACTGTTATTTCTTGTCATTCCTGGTAGTGCTTGGGGGAACAGGGTCCCCCCTGACTAGTTTGTAACAGGCCACTAGATCCCCCCCTCAGCCTTCTCTTGTGGAGGCTGAACAGGTTCAGGTCTCTTAGCCTCTCCTCGTAGGGCCTGCCCTGCTGGCCCCTGATCATGGAGCGCCCCACCCTCTGGCCCCTCTCAATGCTGTCCGTATCCCTCCTGAAGTGCGGCGCCCAGAACTGGACACAGTACTCTAACTGTGGCCTGACCAGTGTCACATAGAGGGGGAGGATCACCTCCTTGGACCTGCTCAACTTAACCTGCTCTGTGGATGCAGGACAAGGTGTGGTTGGCCTTCCTGACTGCGTCCCCACACTGTTGGCCCATGCTCATTTTGGCATCAATAATGACTCCAAGATTTTTTTCAGTCTCTGCACTGACAAGAAGGGAGTTCCCCAGCCTGTAGGTATGCTGCTGGTTCTTCCTCCCCAGGTGCAGTACCTTGCACTTGTCAGTGTTGAAACGCATCCTGTTCTCATCTGCCCACCCCTGTAACCTGTCTAGGTCCGATTGCAGCCTATTCCTCCCTTCTAGCGTGCCCACTTCTCCCCACATCTTAGTGTCATCTGCAAATTTGAACAGGGTGCTTTTTACCCCCTCATCCAAGTCGCTGATGAAGATGTTGAACAGTGTGGGTCCGAGGACCAAGCCCTGGGGGACCCTACTGCCCACATTCCTCCAGGTCGAAAATGACCCGTCCACCACCACTCCCTGGGTGTGGCCCTCCAGCCAGTTAGCGACCCGTTTGACTGTGTAGATGTCGACGCCACAGTCCCTTAATTTTTTTGATGAGAATGGGGTGAGAGACAGTGTCGAAGGCCTTCCTAAAGTCCAGAAAGACTACATCCACTGCTACACCTGCACCTAAGGATTTTGTCACCTGGTTATAAAAGGCCACCAGGTTGGTTTGACAGGACCTGCCTCTAATGAACCCGTGTTGGTTGTCCCCAAGCATAACCTCCCCTGCTGGCCCCTTGCGGACATGTGCCAGGATAATGCTCTCAAAAAGCTTACCCAGGATCGAGGTAAGACTAACTGGCCTATAGTTTCCTGGATCCTCCTTCCTCCCTTTTTTGAAAATGGGAACCACATTGGCCCTTTTCCAGTCCTCTGGCACCACACCAGAGCACCACCAATGCTTGTAAAGCCGTGCCAGGGGTCCCGCAATGACCTCTGCTAATGTATGTAACCGCAGTAAACCCACTTCCAGCACTAATGCTGGAGTTTCTCTTTCCCCAACGTACAGGAAGCCCTTTTACATTCTATGGCATGTTTTGTAACAGATCAAGCTGATATCAGTTTGGGATATGACAAAGTTTAGCTTTTGTATTCAACTTAACCTAAATTCCAGAGCTGCTCTTCAGACCAAGCGTATTTGCCCAAGAATATAAAATCGTTTTTTGTGGAAATAAAATTTAACGTGTGCAAATTTCATGATTTTCACCCTGGACTCTTTAGCAGCCTTTGACTTCTGTCTGGCCCTGCTTTTTCAGAGAACTTAAATGTTAACAGGTGCCCCCAAGAAAAACTCAGAGCTGGCCTGAAGGATGTGCTTGGCTTGGAACATAGTGTCCAGTTCTCGTGTCCAAAAGGGTCCAAAAGAGCCATAAGAATTAGAGGATTAGAAAGACATGCCTCATTGTGAAAGACTCAGTTCATTAGCCTTATCAAAGAGGAAGTGGTGGGGTGGGACATGGGAAGAGAGAGACTGGTTTGGGCTATAAGTATTGATATAGGAAACAAACTTGATAAGTTGGGCTCTTCAATGTAGCAAAGAGCTAACAATCAATAGCTAGAAGTTAAGGACAAGACTAATTCAGACTAGAAATAAGACAGAAAAGAAGGATAATTAACCAATGGAATAGTTAAAAGGATCATGGAGTATTCTCAGTCACTGGAAGTTTGTCAGGACTGGACAGTCTAAGGAACATACTCTAATTTAAGCACACTTAATTGATTTCTGCTTCCAGTTCAATACAAGGAAGTCCTGTGGCTCATCTTAGGAGTAGTCAGATGAGCAAAGTACTATCAGCCCATTGCCTTGGAATGGAGTCTTCTACCCAGTCTGTCTGAAAGATTAGTTTAAGTGCAAGGTTTATCTTTTCCTGCCTGCCCCTGTAATTGTTGCAATCTGCTATTGTGGAAGATGGTGATGATCTGTAGTAGCTATGCTTGAAATGACTAATTGGGGGTGGAACCAGATGCCTGACAAGACTATAAATAGGACATCATGTGTAGGCGCAAGAAGAATCTGCTTCTGGGCATGCCTGTCAAAACCCCTATGTTAGTGTTCCTATGCTTATATTGCCTATGGGGTTCAGTTTGGTAGGTGTGTGGAGAACACCTAATTGAAGGTGGAAGGAACTGCTCCTCTTTTTGGAGGAAAGTTCAGCACCTGTCCAAGATGTCGACACCAAGGTTTATTTCTTTTGTTGGATCAGGGAGTCTGCAACCCACAGCTCTCAAGAAGGTTTGGAGGTGTGAACCCTAAATGGAAAAGCAGCCCCCAGGCAATTCACAGCTTATGTGTCTGACTCTCTGAAAGAGCGGGGCTTAAGATTCATGTCTTCCCTCAGCCCTTTGCTCCTAGGCAGCTCCCTTCTCAGCATGCTGGCTTTTCTGGATCTCTTAGGTGCTCAGCTCCTCTCCCACATTTTATAGGGAACCTAGTCTCCCTGCTCAGGGCTGCTGATTTTGCTGCAGTAGCGAAACAAATGCCGAATACTCCCAGTGTCTGCTGGCAAAAAAGACATCCCACAAACTCATACATGTGTTTGTTTGTGAAGCTTGAACTCCCCTCTCATCCCATCCCCAAGACTAGGGGGCCAAGGTTGAGGCACACTGGCAGGGCTGTGGAGAAGCAGTGGTTCTACTGTGTAGAGAACGAGATCCAGGTAGGCATCATAAAAAAGATGCTCATACGGACTCGGGCAGCACAACCCTGATTATTGCAGTGCCCAACCTTTTAGTGCCTCATCACCTAATAGAATCCACAGCCCTGAGGGAGGGACCCAGGCCCTTTGTATAATGCCTGGGAATAGTTTGGTGCCCAGGAGCAGGATACACAGAAGCCACCACTGCAAGCTATGCTATAGGCAATGCTCACAGGCAGGTCCTGGGTATGTTCCTATAGTCCAGAGAAGGCCTGAAGGACTGGTGTTCTGGGGGAAATAGCTATATCCCACTAGAATACATAACCCTGAATCCTCTTCTGTACCTAATGTTTTTTCACAAAAGGAACCCTTTGGGGGAAAAGTAACTGCTATCCCCTTTAAAGCACCCATCTGCTACAAGTAACACACTGATTCAAGTCTTTCCTTTGCCTGAGTTTTGAACCTTCATTCCCATATAAAGGTTCTGATCAAACAGTAGCTTATTCTTGGGCAGGAGTACTCTCCCTTGCCCTACTGATTAAACACAAAAGCACTCACTGGAGAAGGGATGGGAAGGAAGATCTTCCCTTACCACCTTTAGATGCCGTGCCTCAGGAACTTAACTTGGGAACCACAGGGACATTTAACATCTTTTTAAATGAACAGGGTTAGTCATCCAAGTGCTTAGGATGTGGACCTTGGTATCATATCAGCATGTTTAACCAGCAAGAAAATAAAGAGCTAGTTAGATTAAAAAGAAACCAAAAACACAACCCCCCCAATTATTTCAGCCAATTTAAACTAGCATTTTCTCTCTTCAAATTTTTGCTTTGCCTCAGTCTAGGGTCAGTTCTAATAGGTGCTCTGCCACTATTGGGGGGTCACTGTTTTATACATAACATATACAAGCTTCTTAATTATTTTTAAAACAAGTCTGGGAAATGATCACTGTAGCTTTCATTGCTAAATTATTTCATCTCACATTCCATTCAAACAGGGAACAAATTTCTCCATTTTTGTTCCAAAATAACTATATCCATGAATTCATTATGCATCATCAGCAGTTTTGGTACTAGCCTGATGAAACTATTCTACTCAGGACTACTGGCTTCTACCCTGCACATCTGAGGAGATTAAATAACTGTGATGTCAAATGCTCACTATAGAATCACACAGTGTTCCCATCCCCCACAAAATGCATGCTAAGCATGGTCTGATGCGATTAAGCCAATTCACTCTCTCCAAATTCAACTTAGAAACAAATGGAAGATGCTCTCTCATGCTGCCAGTTTCTGACAGCTCTTCTGAGACATAATTAGGGTCTTAGCTTCTGATCTTTATTTTAGGCGTATTTTTGTCTCATTTTCCAGAAGGAAAACAGTGAAGTCTGCCCCACCTCCTCTCCAGAATTTTAACCAGCAACAAAAATTCCACAAGCCAAAAGTCAGATCCTCTGACTAACCAGCAGAGCTCATTACTCCCTCCTTCCTCAAATCATTGTCAAGACTGACAATGGTAGATTTCAGGTATTGGCAGCAATTACTTCACAAAAACAGATTTACAACTGCTAGCTGCTCTTCTGTTCCCCCACCCAACCTTTAAAAAGAAAGAGAGAAAGGATCTTTAGAAATAATATAGGAGCTGCTGAAAACTGAAGGGAAGGAGGAGAAGACAGGAATCAATTAAAGCACCTCACCATTACAGTTACTTGCTGTTAAAAGCATCCAGTCTCCTGTCATTGTCACACTGTGAGCATCCTGCACCCAGAACTTTGTGCTAAGGAACCAAGAGGCTAGGAAAGGCAAATTACTGTAATCCATCCAGCAGTGCTAAGTTTAGCCACAAACATTTTGCCTTTTGAGTTTGAGAATGATATTTCTGTCCCTGTCCCATTCCCCTCTCCCACCCCATAAAGGAATTATTGGAGTCCTCTCATTTTCCTACCTTT